CTCCAAAACTTTTTTTTTTTAAACAAAATTTGTTGATAACATCTCACCCACTCTCTCATTTGCCCCTTTTTTTTACATTGCTTACCACCTTTTAACCTCTCTCTTTTTCTCCATATACCTTCCCTTCTTGCATCACTTCTACTTTTTAAGAACTTCTCATATGCAAACTTTTTCTCCCTTACTACCTCTTTACATCATCTTTTCCACCAATCGCTCCTCTTCCCTCCCGCACCCACTTTCCGTAACCACAAACTTCTGCAACACCAAACACTACATTTTTTAAACCTACCCCATCCCTTCCCCCCCCTTTCCTGCTCTCATTAGCCATCTATCCTCCAATAGCTGTTTAATCTTCCCCAAACTGCCTCCCTTTTAGTTTAAAAACCTTTCACCTCTCCTCCCTGAGCTTCTTTTCTCCTTAAGTCTACTCAACATTTTTTATCTACCAATACATAATCCAAAAAACTACTGTCATTTCCCCCTACATCATATTTTGTATACTTATTTATCCTCTTTTTTTTAAAAATAGTTTTACCTATAACTAAACCCCTTTCTAACAAAGTTCAATCAAAGGGCCCCTCATCATTTACACCTGGCCCCCCCAAAACTTACCTACCACACCCCCTAAATTTCCCTTTTTTAGCATTCAGATCCCCTACCACAATGACCTCTCACTTGGTTCAAAGGGCCCCTATACTTTCACTTAAACATCCCCCAAAAATCTCTCTCCTCCTCTACTTTCCTCTCTTCCCAGGTGCATACACCTTTTTATGACCCATTTTCGCATCCAAACCTTTACTTTAATCCACATAATTCTTAAATTTACACATTCATATTCTTTTTTTTCCCCCCTTCCATAACTACCCTTAAAACTTTCTGCCCCCTTCCTTTGCTCTAACTCTCTCGAACTCCAGATTTAATCCATTTATTTCCCCCCACCGAAACTCCCCTACCACCTTCGCTTTGTTTCGTTTGGGGCCAGGACATCCAACTTCTTTTCATTATAACATCAGCAATCATCTGTTTCCTGCATCCGCACTACATCCCGCACATTCAAGAAACCCCATTTTAAAAAGTTTTTCTTTTCTCTTTTTTAGTAATGTCTACAGAAAGGGGGTTCTAGCCCTTTGCTAGATATATTTATTAAGTAGGAGTTTTTAAATGTACACAAATAAGATTCTCTATATAGCTCCATATATAATGTAGTCTTTGGTAAATGTGAAGATAAAGTACATCCAAAAATGAATATGAGTACTATGAAGCTTTTTTGGTGTAAAAAAATGCAAAATTTAAGGTATATAGAGGAGCGTATAACGAACTAATGTTTTTATCAAATTAAAAATCAAAATACAGTTTTAAAAAGGGCATAAGAACAGTAATGATTGATAAAGGAATAAGACATTTTTAACTGACTAATGGAAGCCCCCAGTTATGTAGATTTTTTGGGCAGCCGTAAAATTAACTTATAACTACTAAATAAATAACTAGGTTAGTTGACTAGAATGTTTCTGTTACAATAATGACATCTCACATTTTTATTCAGGGGGAGCTCTAAACCCATAAGGGCGTGCACCCGTCAAGACGTGATAGTGTGAAAGTGGTGAAAGTGTTTTTTTTTTCAGGGCGCCCCCTTCGTGGAGGCGCCAGTAATTTTAAAAAAATCCGATGGTGGAATAGTAAGAGGAACAGCAAGGGAGAAAAATTTTTGTGAAATGTATGTATTAGTATATGTGTGGTGTGTTGTGAGAGAGAGAGAGAGAGAGAGAGAGAGAGAGAAGAGAAGAGAAAAAAGAGAGAGAAGAGAAGAGAGGAGAGAGGAGAGGAAAAGAGGAAGAGAGGAAAAGAGTGAGAGAGAGTGGAAGAGAGAGGAGAGAGAAGAGAGAGAGAGAGAGGAGAGAGAGAGAGAGAGAGAGAGAAGAGAGAAGAGAAAGAAGAGAGAGAGAGAGAGAGAGAGAGAGAGAAAGAGAGAGAGAGAACACACACTCAAAATCAATATTTTCCCCAATAACTCACAAAAGTTGTGACCGGTGTGGAAGTGTGAATTGCTCAATTTTCTCTATAATTTGTTCATGATTGTAGCCGTGTATAAACGAAGAACCATTTCTTACAAATTCTTTCCTTTTTAAATTGAGCTCATTACCTCTGAACTTTCTCGCTATCAAAACTTGGAGCCATCACTGACCAATTTTGTACCTCTGTAATCTTTTTACTACCGCCCACAGATGGGATTTGGGGACTACCCCCACAGGAGGGGATGTGGGACTACCGCCCACAGGATGGGGAGTGGGACTACCGCCCACAGGATGGGTATGTGGGACACCGCCCACAGGGTGGGATGGGTACTACCGCCCACAGGATGGGGATGGGATGCTAATAAAAATATTTAAAATAACTAAAAAAAAAGCCCGAAATGAATTGCATAGGGTTTTTATCTAGTGCATTATTTGGGAAAAACGTAAACCCCCTTTGTAATTCATAGATAACAGAATTTTTTTTTCAACAGACTGGCCGTCTCCACTGTGGAAAAGGGAACCCCCAAAAAAGAAGGGAAACTTTTATTTTTCATTTAGTAATGTAACAGAAGGGGTTACTACCCCTTGCTCCCAGCATTTTTTGTTTCTTCTTATGACACACATGCTAACGGGGGAAGGAAATTTTTTTTCCACATCATGGAAAGAAACAAGATTTACATACTACAAACCCACCATCCGACTTACGCCACTTTGACTTACACCATTTTTTTAGCCAAATTTCTGGGAAATAAACAACTACAGTGGACCCCCCCATAACGATTACCTCCGAATGGGGACCAATTTTGTAAAATGTATTTTAAATAAGTGCTTTTTACTTATGTTTGGGGGGCTGAAATGGACTAATCTACTTTACAATATTTCTTATGGGGAAAAAATTCGGCATAAAAGGCACCTGAACATACTTCTGGAGTGAAAAAAAAACGTTAAACCGGGGGTCCACTTATTTCAATTTTACACATTTTTATCCTAAACCTTACAGTAAAAAACATACTAACAACATAAAAATAAAATAAAAAATGAAATACCAAAATAAAAAAATAAAAAAAAGTCATTACTTACGACTGGTTTTTCGGAACCGAACTCGGTCGTAAGTCGGATGGTAGGTGTATTTAGCTATTTATTAATTTTCATTACAGCATAATATCATACAAACCTTTCACTGCCTGCTTTGCTGCTTCCAGAGTTTCACTGTCATAGATCAAACTTCTCTGCTGGACAGCTACACCTGCCATTCTTGCATGAATAGACAGAGTGGAGTGCGGTACACCCCATCGCTCAGCAATTTCTCGCAGAGTTCCCATTCCTGAACGTACATCTTCAATTGCTCTTTGAAGATCATCTGGTCTGCAAAGAACACACAAGCACAGCCTTCTTGAATCCGTTTTCAAAAAAATCATGCAATTTTACCTCTACAATGTTCTCACATGTTGAGCGGTATTTTATAAATACAGTACTCTAGGACTAATTGGTTTCTTGAATCCGTTAACAGATGTTACCTTACTCACACTCTAACAGCAAGTCAGCCATACACACCACTTATCTTCACTCACTCCACTGTAACACTCTCACATAAAGCCTGCTGGATGCTCAAGCCTCTAGCACACAAAACCTCCTTCTCCCCTCATTCCTGGGATGAACCCTACCCCCCTCATTCCTGAGATGATCCCTACCCCCCTCATTCCTGAGATGAGCCCTACCCCCTCCTGCCTTCCACTCCTCCAGACTGTCACATCCTCTTGGAATACAATACAACTTTATTTCTTTTCATGCAGTATACAAAATGGAGTTTATGTGTAATACAATATTTTTTTTTATTAACATGTTAGCCATCTCCCCCAAGGAAGGGTAACCCAAAAAAAGAAACACTTTCACTATCTTTCATACTATTACTGTCTTTGTAGAGGCACCCAGATATGACAGTTTAGGTGTCCCTCTCAACTGGGACCTGCAATCAAATTGGCGTCCACCAGGACGTTGACATCCCCAGGGCAGCTCTCCCTCTGGCTGCTAACGGAGTTGCTGACCTCTTGGACCTCTTGGACCTCTGGGGAGGGTCGATGGTGCTCCTGCAAGCAGCAGATCCTGGCACAACCTGCTACTGTTTGCAATGGCTGTCTGGCTGTCTGCCAAGGAGGGACAGACACCTAGCAACATCTGTTGTTGGGGCAATGGATGCAACCCCTATAATGTTTGTTAATTGCTCATTACTCTGAAATTTGTTCATGATTGTAACCATGTATGGACGTGTTTATGATTCATTACCTTCGTAACTTGTCATGATTGTGACCAGCTCTACCTGGAGCTGATTACCTTTGCAACTTGTCATGATTGTGACCAGATCTAGTTCATTACCTTCGTAACTTGTTCAGTTATCAAAACTTTGGAGTCCATTCCCTGGACCAATTATGTACCTCTGTAATCTTTTGACTACCACCCACAGGATGGGTATATAGTGCATAATAAACATATTAAACTAACTAAACTCTAAACAGCAAATATCCCAAACCCCTCCTTTAAAGTGCAGGTATTTAACTTCCCACCTTCAGGGCTCAAGTCCAGTTAACTGGTTTCCCTGAATCCCTTCACAAAATATTACCCTGCTCACACTCCAACAGTTCATCAAGTCCCAAAAAACATTCGTCTCCATTCACTCCTATTTAACACAACACTAGCCTGCAGTGCAATTTAAGCAGACTAATCCTAGATCTAGACATAACAATAACAATAACAATTTTATTTTAGCATGATACATATTTGTACAAAGGAGTGTAACAATTTGGTATATATGCCAAACGCTTCTTTATATGCTGAGCATTTCAGGCAAACTTAAGACTAACTTAAGATTAATAAGGCAATAACAGCACTGTAATTGTACATATGATCATTAGGTAAGATACAGTGGATACAAGAAAACTGAATATTCAGCTAGTTCATGCTATATGGCTTAAATAAGTCTGGTAGAGAAGAATTATAGTTTTGATATACAGTGGACCCCCGGTTTACGATATTATTTCATTCCAGAAGTATGTTTAGGTGCCAGTACTGAACGAATTTGTTCCCATAAGGAATATTGTGAATTAGATTAGTCCATTTCAGACCCCCAAACATACACGTACAAACGCACCTACATAAATACACTTACATAATTGGTCGCATTGGGAGATGATCGTAAACTGGGGGTCCACTGTAGTATATAAGAAAAATACAGTATTACAATTCAGCACAATTTAAAACAATGACGTTGAAACATGCTGCCACAACTGCTCAAGGTTTTCTTTGTACTAAACAAGATTCTATAACATGTAAATCACACTTTGTATATTATACAATGAAATGGCCAGAGCACCTCAACAAGCCTTTTTCAGCCCTCTGAATTGCACCTCCAGTAACCTCACATCATCTAACATTTTTACACTCTTAGTTCTGTACCCACTATGATTGTACATTATTATAATCATAACAAAGCACTAAACCCAAAAGTATGACTGAACAACATTAAGGGTGTTTCGTACCTATTAATTTAAGTAATAATCCTGTATTATCATTATTATTATTTTATTTATTTTTTTATTTATTTATTAATTTGAGCATGATAGAGTAGTACAAATGAATACAGTTATTACAGTGCAGCATGCCAAAGCCCCTTGTATGCAGAGCATTATGGGCAGCTTAAAATTAACTTAAGGTTAACTAAGCAGTGATATATTCAGTGGTAAAACATTATTGTAAACAGATAACAATTTAGTACAAATGAGTATTACAAAGACAGGTTATATGGTCATTTACTGTGTTGCTGAGCATTCAGTAGAATGGAGTATTCTGTTTGGTAATGTAATTAAAAAATAACAAAGTTTGATTGGGTATCAGGTTAAACATTTATGAGATACAATTATGAGAAACATTTATGAGATACAATTTTTAAGATACAATTATTCAGTATTTATTTGGTTGTGGGTGAGTAAGTGATTTTTGAGAAGAGACTTGAGTTTATAAACAGACAGTGTTTCTTTTATATATACAGGTAATGAATTCCAGATTTCAGGGCCTTTTATGTGCATTGAGTTTTTGCATAGTGTGAGATGGACACGAGGAACATCAAAGAGTGATCTGTGTCTTGTGTTATGGTCATGTGTTCTGTTGAGGTTGGTAAGATGTTTGAGGGGAGGGTTCATATCAGTGTTAAGTGTTATATGTATGTAATAGGTGCAGTAATAAGTATGGATGTTTTGAATGGTGAGTAGATTTAGAGTTTTGAATATTGGTGGAGTGTGCTGCCTGTAGTGGGAATTTGTTATCATTCTGACTGCAGCCTTTTGTTGGGTAATTAATGGTCTGAGATGGTTTATTGTTGTTGAGCCCCATGCACAAATTCCATAGGTGAGATAGGGGTAAATAAGTGAGTGATATAGGGCCAGGAGGGCTGACTGTGGAACATAGTACCATATCTTCGATAGTATGCCTACAGTCTTGGAAATTTTCTTGGAAATTTGCTGTATATGTGTTTGAAATTTGAGCCTATTATCAAGATGGATTCCTAAGAATTTTCCCTCTGTGAGTTTTGTGATAGGTGTTCCGTTTATCATTATGTTAAGAGGGACATCTGTAGCTCTGTTACCAAACTGAATGAAGTAGGTTTTTGTCAATGTTTAGAGTTAATTTGTTAGTCCTCATCCAGGTAGATATTTTCTGTAATTCGGTATTTACAGTATTGGCTAGCGTGACTGGGCTCGGGTGAGAGAAGACGTATGTAGTGTCATCTGCAAATAGTGTGGGTTTGAGTAATTGCGATGCATTTAGTAGGTCATTTATGACCTCCCGCCAAGACAGGGCGACCCAAAGAAGAAAACGCATTCACCATCATTCACTCAATCACTGTTTTGCGATTAACTTACCCATATCTTGCAAGTTTGTAAATTATTCTCCTTTTCTTCCTGTTTGAGGAGTACTCATGACCTTCCTGTAAATGATAAAATTCAAAGTTACAAATCATCATTGTGACAATCATTATCATCATCATTCTCATCATATTCATTTTCATCCTCCATTATATTTAAGTACATGTATAGATCTAGTACAGCTCCTTAATGTGAGAGTACACCTCTCTTATAAAGCTCCTTTATAAGTACAGTTCATTATAAAGCTTTATGAGTACAGTTCATTTTAAAGCTCTATGAGTATAGTTCATTATAAAGCTCTATGAGTACAGTTCATTATAAAGCTCTATGAGTACAGTTCATTATAAAGCTCTATGAGTACAGTTCATTATAAAGCTCTATGAGTACAGTTCATTATAAAGCTTCTTTATATGTGAGTACAGATCTTTCTCTTATAAAGCTCTTTTATACATAAGTACAGCTCTTATAAAGCTCTTATATACAGTGTGATATTTAATAAATATGATTGAAAAAGTGAATTCAAAATTAAACAACAAATTGAAATGCCTTCATAGCACAGGCAGCTATGCAATCTTGCATGTGTTCTTTCAATCAACTTTGCAACATATATTGCACTCTACAGAGGAGCTTTATAGAAGACTTGACTTGAGCTTTATAACTGGAATATACCTGGAGAGTGTTCCAGAGGTCAATGCCCCCTGTGGCCCAGTCCACGACCAGGTTTTGCCTAAGTATAAATATATACCTAGTCTACCCTCACAAACATTACAGAAATAAATAAGTCTACCCTCATATACATTACAGAATAAATAAGTCTACCCTCATATACATTACAGAATAAATAAGTCTACCCTCATATATATTACAGAATAAATAAGTCTACCCTCATAAACATTACAGAATAAAATAAGTCTACCCTCATATATATTACAGAATAAATAAGTCTACCCTCATAAACATTACAGAATAAATAAGTCTACCCTCATATATATTACAGAATAAATAAGTCTACCCTCATAAACATTACAGAATAAATAAAAGTTACAATACTGTGGCGGGAACAATACACTTTTCATCGTCAACTTTGAGAGTAAACATTCAACACCTTGATAATGGAGTTTAACGTTGCCTCTCCAAATTGAACATCAACAGATCGAACACAATAACATTTATAAAGATGAATGATTTGCATTCATAAAGCATTTTAAACTTTATTAACCCTCTCAGGGTCCAGACCCCTGATCTGAAATTTGCTCTCAGAAAAGAGGAAGGTGGCAACAACAAGTAAGAGGGAGGTGAAAGTGTATAAACTAAGGGAGGAGGAAGTTCGGGTGAGATATAAGCGACTATTGGCAGAAAGGTGGGCTAGTGCAAAGATGAGTAGTGGGGGGGTTGAAGAGGGTTGGAATAGTTTTAAAAATGCAGTATTAGAATGTGGGGCAGAAGTTTGTGGTTATAGGAGGGTGGGGGCAGGAGGAAAGAGGTAGTGATTGGTGGAATGATGAAGTAAAGGGTGTGATAAAAGAGAAAAAGGTAGCTTATGAGAGGTTTTTACAAAGCAGAAGTGTTATAAGAAAAACAGAGTATATGGAGAGTAAAAGAAAGGTGAAGAGAGTGGTGAGAGAGTGCAAAAGGAGAGCAGATGATAGAGTGGGAGAGGCACTGTCAAGAAATTTTAATGAAAATAAGAAAAAATTTGGAGTAAGTCAAACAAGTTAAGAAAGCCTAGGGAAAGTATGGATTTGTCAGTTAAAAACAGAGTAGGGGAGTTAGTAGATGGGGAGAGGGAGGTATTAGGTAGATGGCGAGAATATTTTGAGGAACTTTTAAATGTTGAGGAAGAAAGGGAGGCGGTAATTTCATGCACTGGCCAGGGAGGTATACCATCTTTTAGGAGTGAAGAAGAGCAGAATGTAAGTGTGGGGGAGGTACGTGAGGCATTACGTAGAATGAAAGGGGGTAAAGCAGCTGGAACTGATGGGATCATGACAGAAATGTTAAAAGCAGGGGGGGATATAGTGTTGGAGCAGTTGGTACTTTTGTTTAATAAATGTATGAAACAGGGGAAGGTACCTAGGGATTGGCGGAGAGCATGTATAGTCCCTTTATATAAAGGGAAAGGGGACAAAAGAGATTGTAAAAATTATAGAGGAATAAGTTTACTGAGTATACCAGGAAAAGTATATGGTAGGGTTATAATTGAAAGATTAAGAGGTAAGACAGAATGTAGGATTGCGGATGAGCAGGGAGGTTTCAGAGTGGGTAGGGGATGTGTAGATCATGTGTTTACATTGAAGCATATATGTGAACAGTATTTAGATAAAGGTAGGGAAGTTTTTATTGCATTTATGGATTTAGAAAAGGCATATGATAGAGTGGATAGAGGAGCAATGTGGCAGATGTTGCTAGTATATGGAATAGGTGGTAAGTTACTAAATGCTGTTAAGAGTTTTTATGAGGATAGTGAGGCTCAGGTTAGGGTGTGTAGAAGAGAGGGAGACTACTTCCCAGTAAAAGTAGGTCTTAGACAGGGATGTGTAATGTCACCATGGTTGTTTAATATATTTATAGATGGGGTTGTAAAAGAAGTAAATGCTAGGGTGTTCGGGAGAGGGGTGGGATTAAATTATGGGGAATCAAATTCAAAATGGGAATTGACACAGTTACTTTTTGCTGATGATACTGTGCTTATGGGAGATTCTAAAGAAAAATTGCAAAGGTTAGTGGATGAGTGTGGGAATGTGTGTAAAGGTAGAAAGTTGAAAGTGAACATAGAAAAGAGTAAGGTGATGAGGGTATCAAATGATTTAGATAAAGAAAAATTGGATATCAAATTGGGGAGAGAGTATGGAAGAAGTGAATGTTTTCAGATATTTGGGAGTTGACATGTTGGCAGATGGATTTATGAAGGATGAGGTTAATCATAGAATTGATGAGGGAAAAAAGGTGAGTGGTGTGTTGAGGTATATGTGGAGTCAAAAAACGTTATCTATGGAGGCAAAGAAGGGAATGTATGAAAGTATAGTAGTACCAACACTCTTATATGGATGTGAAGCTTGGGTGGTAAATGCAGCAGCGAGGAGATGGTTGGAGGCAGTGGAGATGTCCTGTCTAAGGGCAATGTGTGGTGTAAATATTATGCAGAAAATTCGGAGTGTGGAAATTAGGAAAAGGTGTGGAGTTAATAAAAGCATTAGTCAGAGGGCAGAAGAGGGGCTGTTGAGGTGGTTTGGTCATTTAGAGAGAATGGATCAAAGTAGAATGACATGGAAAGCATATAAATCTATAGGGGAAGGAAGGAGGAGTAGGGGTCGTCCTCGAAAGGGTTGGAGGGGGTAAAGGAGGTTTTGTGGGCGAGGGGCTTGGACTTTCAGCAAGCGTGCGTGAGCGTGTTAGATAGGAGTAATGGGAGACGAATGGTACTTGGGCCCTGACGATCTGTTGGAGTGTGAGCAGGTAATATTTAGTGAAGGGATTCAGGGAAACCGGTTATTTTCATATAGTCGGACTTGAGTCCTGGAAATGGGAAGTACAATGCCTGCACTTTAAAGGAGGGGTTTGGGATATTGGCGGTTTGGAGGGATATGTTGTGTATCTTTATACGTATATGCTTCTAAACTGTTGTATTCTGAGCACCTCTTCACAAACAGTGATAATGTGTGAGTGTGGTGAAAGTGTTGAATGATAAAGAAAGTATTTTCTTTTTGGAGATTTTCTTTCTTTTTTGGGTCACCCTGCCTCGGTGGGAGACGGCCGACTTGTTGAAAAAATATAAACACGCTAAGATAACAGGGATATCTTGCTACTCCTACTTACACTTTGGTCACACTTCACAGACACGCACATGCATATATATATATACATACATCTGGGTTTTTCTCCTTTTTCTAAATAGCTCTTGTTCTTTTTTTTTCTTCTATTGTCCATGGGGAAGTGGAAAAGAATCTTTCCTCCGTAAGCCATGCGTGTCGTATGAGGCGACTAAAATCCCGGGAGCAATGGGCTAGTAACCCCCTTTTCCTGTAACAATTACTAAAAAAGAGAAGAAGAAAACTTTATAAAACTGGTTGCTTAAAATGTGCGTGGATGTAGTGCGGATGACAAGAAACAGATGATTGCTGATGTTATGAATGAAAAGAAGTTGGATGTCCTGGGGCCCCAAGCGAAACAAAGCTGAAGGGGGTAGGAGAGTTTCAGTGGGGGGAAATAAATGGGATTAAATTGGAGTATCTGAGAGAGTTAGAGCAAAGGAAGGGGTAGCAGTAATGTTAAATGATCATTATGGAAGGAGAAAAGAGAATATTTAATGTGTAAATTCCAAGAATTATGTGGATTAAAGTAAAGGTTGGATGCGAGAAGTGGGTCATAATAAGCTGTATGCACCGGAGAAGAGAGGAACGCAGAGGAGAGAGAGAAGATTTTGGGAGATGTAAGTGAATGTATAGGAGCCTTTGAACCAAGTGAGAGAGTAATTGTGGTAGGGGGCTTGAATGCTAAAGTAGGAGAAACTTTTAGAGAGGGTGTGGTAGGTAAGTTTGGGGTGCCAGGTGTAAATGATAATGGGAGCCCTTTTATTGAACTTTGTATAGAAAGGGGTTTTAGTTATAGGTAATACATATTTTAAAAAAAGAGGATAAATAATTTTACACGATATGATGTAGGGCGAAATGACAGTAGTTTGTTGGATTATGTATTGGTAGATAAAAGACTGTTGAGTAGACTTCAGGATGTACATGTTTATAGAGGGGCCACAGATATATCAGATCACTTTCTAGTTGTAGCTACACTGAGAGTAAAAGGTAGATGGGATACAAGGAGAATAGAAGCATCAGGGAAGAGAGAGGTGAAGGTTTATAAACTAAAAGAGGAGGCAGTTAGGGTAAGAATATAAACAGCTATTGGAGGATAGATGGGCTAATGAGAGCATAGGCAATGGGGTCGAAGAGGTATGGGGTAGGTTTAAAAATGTAGTGTTAGAGTGTTCAGCAGAAGTTTGTGGTTACAGGAAAGTGGGTGCAGGAGGGAAGAGGAGCGATTGGTGGAATGATGATGTAAAGAGAGTAGTAAAGGGAGAAAAAGTTAGCATATGAGAAGTTTTTACAAAGTAGAAGTGATGCAAGGAGGGAAGAGTATATGGAGAAAAAGAGAGAAGTTAAGAGAGTGGTGAAGCAATGTAAAAAGAGAGCAAATGAGAGAGTGGGTGAGATGTTATCAACAAATTTTGTTGAAAATAAGAAAAAGTTTTGGAGTGAGATTAACAAGTTAAGAAAGCCTAGAGAACAAATGGATTTGTCAGTTAAAAATAGGAGAGGAGAGTTATTAAATGGAGAGTTAGAGGTATTGGGAAGATGGAAGGATATTTTGAGGAATTGTTAAATGTTGATGAAGATAGGGAAGCTGTGATTTCGTGTATAGGGCAAGGAGGAATAACATCTTGTAGGAGTGAGGAAGAGCCAGTTGTGAGTGTGGGGGAAGTTCGTGAGGCAGTAGGTAAAATGAAAGGGGGTAAGGCAGCCGGGATTGATGGATAAAGATAGAAATGTTAAAAGCAGGTGGGATATAGTTTTGGAGTGGTTGTGCAATTATTTAATAAATGTATGGAAGAGGGTAAGGTACCTAGGGATTGGCAGAGAGCATGCATAGTTCCTTTGTATAAAGGCAAAGGGATAAAAGAGAGTGCAAAATTATAGGGGGATAAGTCTGTTGAGTGTACCTGGTAAAGTGTATGGTTAGAGTTATAATGAAAGAATTAAGAGTAAGACGGAGAATAGGATAGCAGATGAACAAGGAGGCTTTAGGAAAGGTAGGGGTGTGTGGACCAGGTGTTTACAGTGAAACATATAAGTGAACAGTATTTAGATAAGGCTAAAGAGGTCTTTGTGGCATTTATGGATTTGGAAAAAGGCGTATGCCCAGGGTGGATAGGGGGGCAAATGTGGCAGATGTTGCAAGTGTATGGTGTAGGAGGTAGGTTACTGAAAGCATTTGAAGAGTTTTTTACGAGGATAGTGAGGCTCAAGTAGAGTATGTAGGAAAGAGGGAAATTTTTTCCCAGTAAAAGTAGGCCTTAGACAAGGATGTGTGATGTCACCTTTGGTTGTTTAAATATATATATAGATGGGGTGTAAGAGAAGTAAATGCGAGGGTCTTGGCAAGAGGTGTGGAGTTAAAAGATAAAGAATCACCCCACAAAGTGGGAGTTGTCACAGCTGCTCTTTGCTGATGACACTGTGCTTTTGGGAGATTCTGAAGAGAAGTTGCAGAGATTGGTGGATGAATTTGGTTTGGGGGTGGCAAAAGAAGAAAATTTAAAGGTGAATACAGGAAAGAGTAAGGTTTTATGAGGATAAACAAAAAGATTAGGTGATGAAAGATTGAATATCAGATTTGGGGGGAGAGAGTATGGAGGAGGTGAACGTATTCAGATATTTGGGAGTGGACGTGTCAGCGGATGGTCTATGAAAGATGAGGTGAATCATAGAATTGATGAGGGAAAAAGAGTGAGTGGTGCACTTAGGAGTCTGTGGGGACAAAGAACTTTGTCCTTGGGGGCAAAGAGGGGAATGTATAGATTATAGTTTTACCAACGCTCTTATATGGGTGTGAAGCGTGGGTGATGATGTTGCAGCGAGGAGAAGGCTGGAGGCAGTGGAGATGTCATGTCTGAGGGCAATGTGTGGTGTGAATATAATGCCAGAGAATTCGTAGTTTGGAAGTTAGGAGGAGGTGCGGGATTACCAAAACTGTTGTCCAGAGGGCTGAGGAAGGGTTGTTGAGGTGGTTCGGACATGTAGAGAGAATGGAGCGAAACAGAATGACTTCAAGAGTGTATCAGTCTGTAGTGGAAGGAAGGCGGGGTAGGGGTCGGCCAGGAAGGGTTGGAGGGAGGGGTAAAGGAGGTTTTGTGTGCGAGGGGCTTGGACTTCCAGCAGGCATGCGTGAGCGTGTTTGATAGGAGTGAATGGAGACAAAATGGTTTTTAATACTTGACGTGCTGTTGGAGTGTGAGCAAAGTAACATTTATGAAGGGATTCAGGGAAACCGGCAGGCCGGACTTGAGTCCTGGAGATGGGAAGTACAGTGCCTGCACTCTGAAGGAGGGGTGTTAATGTTGCAGTTTAAAAACTGTAGTGTAAAGCACCCTTCTGGCAAGACAGTGATGGAGTGAATGATGGTGAAAGTTTTTCTTTTTCGGGCCACCCTGCCTTGGTGGGAATCGGCCGGTGTGATAATAAAAAAAATAATAAAAATATATATGAAATGTCAGAGAATCTTTTTCCAAAGGTAACGAAGCCAAAAGCATGATATTTGATGGAAAACTTATGGAATTATGCTCTCACAAAGTTAGCGATCTTGGCAATATTGATGCATCAGCGATTTTGAGTCCAATTTTAGGCCAATTCCATTGATCCAGTCGACCAAATTCTTAGCTATTTCACTAGTATGCCATCCATACAAGAAACTGCCCATTTAACAATTTCAACTACCCAATATAGTGATCAGAAATCAGTACAGTGGAACCTCAAAAATCGAACTGCTCCCAACTCAACCAATTATGTAAGTGTATTTTTGTAAGTGCTTTTATAAGTGTATTTTTGAGGGTCTTAAATGGACTGATCTAATTTACATTATTCCTGATGGGAATAAATTCGTTCGGTAGTGGCACTCGAACAGCCTTCTGGACCAAAGAAAGTTCGATTTTTGAGGTTCCACTGTAATTTGGCCAATTTCACACAAAATTACAAAACTACCATGTTAAAAAATAGAGTCCAGAATAAACAATATAGACATTCCTGACACTAAAAAAAAACATTTCCTCTATTCATCAGTTACGTCCTCCAGGCCTCTCCTTTATTACGCTTGCTTTCCATTTTGAATTTTTATTCACATAAAAAATAGATTTACTATTATGTAGACTATTGCATTATTGTAATAAATGCATAAATAATGTCAGTACATTTGTGAACCCATATTAAACTGACCAGTTGGACATGTATTGGAAGTGTGATATAATTCGTGTCCTCTGGAATATCAACAAAAATCAAGCATTTGTACTACTTTGAACTCAGTTTCAAGCTACTTTCAGTCCTGAAACAAATCAAAATCAACTCTATTTCGGTAATATATTTTCCATTCTATCAAATGATACCAAGAAACAGAGAATGCAACCATAAAAACTATCCAAAAATACACCGCAAAGTCACTATTGTAAACCAAATACACGGTCAGTATTTTTCCTATCATGCACTATGTGCTGCAGAATTTTTTTATATGATGCACACTTACCACATAGACTGATTCTGTGTGTGATGAATGGTTTAGAAAACTGATAAGTTGAAGAATTGAGACACTTATGAAACACATGAGAATCTTTATTGAAGAAACGGTTCGCCACGCAGTGGCTTCATCAGTCCAATACAAACCAGAAGGTATAAGGAGAGGAGGAGTTTGAGGTAATCAGTCCCTCAGCCTGGAGTCGATGTGTTCAGTCCATCACTGATTCTGTCGTATCTAGGCCCAAATTTACTGCTCACCACTTATCTAAGTGAACTGAGCTCATCATGTAGCACTACAGCACAGATCTTGAGCTCAAAGCCATAGTACTACAGCACAGACCTCAAAAGGGTTAAGCTAGAAAGCAAATATTTTTTATTTACCAGTTTTGTCCTAACTTTTGCTTCAATAACCTCTAATTCTGATAGAAGCCAAAAGGAGGCTTATCACTGGTAATGATAAAATTTAAAAAAAAATTCTTATCAGAGATTTATGCAAAAGAAAAAGCTTCTAACTTTGTTCTTAAGCAGTTCAATTCTGTTCTGTATTTGGGATGTTGCAGCTCAGAGGGTCACCTGAAATGTGACGTCAGTACATACCTAGCCAGACAACAACTGAATGAACGATGGTGAATGTGTTTCCTTTGCTGGGTCACCATATCTTGATGGGAGAAGGTCAGTGTGCTTAAAATAAATCCACTAGACATTTAAACATCACAAAGTGTTATTCAAACACCAGCACATACCTGGAGGGAGACGGCGTCATCAGCGATGTATGTTCCTCGGCCGATCCGTCACCTTGGATGTACTCGCCACTAAACAGCACCTCACCCATGCTCACATCTTCACTTAGCTATGTGCAAGCACAAAGATGCGATAAATGGTTTTCAAAGCCGACACGTTGAAGAATGAGACACTTATGCAACATATGGAAATCTTTATTGAGGACACTTTTTGCCACACAGCGGCTTTATCAATCCTATACAAAGATACAATACAGGAGGACCCCACATATACAGCACTTATTTTTGGAGTTTTATGTTTTTGCCAGCTTTCAATTGAGCCGTTTACACGCGCCGGTGATAATTTCCAGAGCATGGATTTCTTTTTTTCAGTTAATGCATCTCATCTGATAGCTATACTGTATACCATATACATACATGTACAGTGGACCCCCGCATACCGTTGGCATCACATAACGTTAAATCCACATACCGATACATTTTATCACTAAAATTTTGCCTCGCATAGTGCTAAAAAACTCGCTCAACACTATTCGTCCGAGACGCGTCTATGTGAGGCCTAAGCCAGCCTCACATGTTCCGCCGGTGGCATTGTTTACAAGCCAGCCTCCGCGGTAACATCCAAGCATACAATCGGAACATTTCGTATTATAACAGCGTTTTTGGTGATTTTATCTGCAAAATAAGTGACCATGGGCCCCAAGAAAGCTTCTAGTGCCAACCCTGTGGTAAAAAGGGTGAGAAATATTATCGAAATACTGTGGTACCATGGTCAACTGCTGATGCTGTTCCTGCTGTAGCACTGTCAGCTGCTGCTGCTGCTGTAGCACCATCAGCTGCTGCTGCTGCTGTACCACCGTCAGCTGCTGCTGCTGCTGCTGCTGCTGTAGCACTGTCAGCTGCTGCTGTAGCACTGTCAGCTGCTGCTGCTGTAGCACTGTCAGCTGCTGCTGCTGCTGCACTGTCAGCTGCTGCTGCTGCTGTAGCACTGTCAGCTGCTGCTGTAGCACTGTCAGCTGCTGCTGCTGCTGTAGCACTGTCAGCTGCTGCTGTATCACCATCAGCTGCTGCTGCTGCTGTACCACCATCAGCTGCTGCTGCTGCTGCTGCTGCTGTACCACCATCAGCTGCTACTGCTGCTGTAGTACCGTCTGCTGCTGCTGTAGCACCGTCTGCTGCTGCTGTAGCACTGTCAGCTGCTGCTGCTGCTGCTGCTGCTGCTGCTGTAGCACCGTCAGCTGCTGCTGCTGCTGCACCACCGTCAGCTGCTGCTGCTGCTGCTGTAGTACCGTCTGCTGCTGCTGTAGCACCGTCTGCTGCTGCTGTAGCACTGTCAGCTGCTGCTGTAGCACTGTCAGCTGCTGCTGCTGCTGCTGCTGCTGTAGCACCGTTGTTGGTGTGGCTTATTGAGAATACCAAGAAACAATTAACCCCAGAGGGTTAGCCACCCAGGATAACCCAAAAAGTCAGTGTCATTGAAGACTGTCTAACTTATTTCCATTGGGGTCCTTAATCTTGTCTCCCAGGATGCAACCCACACCAGTCGACTAACACCCAGGTGAACAGGGAAAAATGCCTGGAACTAGTGCTCATATTGGTGAATTTAAAGCCAGCAAAGGTTGGTTTGAGAGATTTAAGAATCGTAGTGGCATACACAGTGTGATAAGGCCTGTTCTGGAAGAAAATGCCAAACAGGACCTACAGTACTCAGGAGGAAAAGGCACTCCCAGGACACAGTGTCTCATCAGTCATTGCTGCATCTTCAATAACGGTAAGTGTCATTTATTCTTCATTTAGTAGACTAGTACATGCACAATATATATTGTGCATGTACTACTCTACTATTGTGCATGTATCCTTCTCTTTGTGTGTAGGAAAATGTATATTTCATGTGGTAAAAAATTTTTTTTCATACTTTTGGGTGTCTTGCACAGATTAATTTGATTTCCATTATTTCTTATGGGGAAAATTCATTCGCATAACGATAATTTCGCATAACAATGAGCTCTCAGGAACAGATTAATATCGTTATGCGGGGGTCCACTGTACTTGTAGAAATAAAAATTATTATTATTATTATTTAACCCTTCAACTGTCCAAACAGATCTATTTTCACATGCGTAGTGCTCCAAAAGTAGCTCTACGTTTTTTTACATATTTTCAATATGTAACAAAAAAACGTAGATCAAATTTTTTTTTGCACGTTTTCAAATGTAAAAAAAACAAAAAGAAGATCTACATTTTTTTACATAATTTCAAATGTTGAAAAAACGTAGATCTACGTTTGGACAGTTTAAAGGTTAACTGTCTTTGAAAGAGTGGAATAATGTAGGTTATTAAGAGGATGGGCTGACTCACCTTGACTATGTGAGTGGATGCTAAATCATCCACAGTAGAGAGCTGGATATCCTCGGGTTGGATAAGGATATGCTCGCCATTACCATCCACTTTGCCTGTTTTGATCTCCACCCCTGTAATAAATGTCATAATTTACTTTTTATTACTATCTGTGAAAAGAGAAACTTTCTTTTTTCTTTTTGGGCCACTCTGCCTTGGTGGGATATGGCCGGTTTGTTGACAAAAAATGTTTTTTAAACATGATAGCCGTCTCCCACTGAGGCCAGGTGACCCGAAAAAGAAACACTTTCACCATCATTTACACTATCACTGTCTTGCCAGAGGCTCGTAGATATGTTTTTATTTTTATACTATATACAAAAATTGTCATAAATGCCCACACAAATTATACAATGTCTATGTTTTTAAACATGACTAGGAGGCAGAACACATGTTGTGGGATTTGAATATTTTCACTTGTGAGATCACCCAGTGTTTAGCAATAAATAGCAAATGCAACCTCGCTTAAAAGCTAAAATAAAACTAATAAATAACTAATAACATGAACAGACAAGACAATGAACAAAGGAATGAGTTAAACGAGGATGTGCTTTAACGAACAGAAATTTTAAGAGATTTTCTTTTTTTTATCCTTTTTGACATACGTACTGGCAGGAGGGGTGTTAATGTTGCAGTTTAAACAATGTAGTGTAAAGCACCCTTCTGGCAAGACAGTGATGGAGTGAATGATGGTGACAGTTTTTCTTTTTCGGGCCACCCTGCCTTGGTGGGAATTGGCCAGTGCTAATAAAAAAAAAAAATAAAACATACTGGCTGTCTCCCACTGAGGCAGGTGACCATATATTAATTTTCAGGAATTATATGATGAACAAATTACTGAAGACAAAACACTATGAGCATGGCTCTACTGCTGTAGCTACAAATACAGGTGACCCTCGAACAACGTGGTGGTTAGAGGTGCCAAACCCCCGCACAGTCAAAAATCCATGTGTAACTTTTGACTCCCCAAAAAATTAACTACTAATAGCCTACTACTGACTGGAAGCCTTACTGATAACACAAACAATCAATTAACATATTTTTGTATGTTATATGTATTACATGTATATATGTACTGTATATGTACTATATGTATATGTACTATATATGTACTGTATATGTACGATTGTAGGTAGTAGATTGGTAGACAGCAACCACCCAGGGAGGTACTACCATCCTGTGGTAGAAGGTTGGTAGACAGCAACCACCCAGGGAGGTACAACCATCCTGTGGTAGTAGGTTGGTAGACAGCAACCACCCAGAAAGGTACTACCGTCCTGCCAAGTGAGTGTAAAACGAAAGCCTGTAATTGTTTTACATGATGGTAGGATTGCTGGTGTCTTTTGTCTGTCTCATAAATATGCAAGATTACAGGTACGTCTTGCTACTTCTACTTACACTTAGGTCACACTACACATACATGTACATGTTTATTTATACACACTCATCTGAGTTTTCTTTGATTTTATCTTAATAGTTCTTGGTCTTATTACTTTTCCTTTTATATCCATGGGGAAGTGAAATAAGAATCTTTCCTCCATAAGCCATGCGTGTCGTAAAAAGTCAACTAAAATGCCGGGAACAATGGGCTAGTAACCCCTTTTCCTGTAAAGATTACTAAAAAGAATAAGAAAATTGTCAAAGTGGGAAGTCTGAATGTGCGTGGATGTTGTGCAATAGTATTAAAATGTGGGGCAGAAGTTTGTGGTTATAAGAGGGTGGGGGCAAGAGGAAAGAGGAGTGATTGGTGGAATGATGAAGTAAAGGGTGTGATAAAAGAGAAAAAGATAGCTTATGAGAGGTTTTTACAAAGCAGAAGTGTTATAAGAAGAGCAGAGTATATGGAGAGTAAAAGAAAGGTGAAGAAAGTGGTGAGAGAGTGCAAAAGGAGAGCAGATGATAGAGTGGGAGAGGCACTGTCAAGAATTTTAATGAAAATAAGAAAAAATTTTGGAGTGAGTTAAACAAGTTAAGAAAGCCTAGGGAACGTATGGATTTGTCAGTTAAAAAAAAAAGGGAGGGGGTTATAGAAGGGAAAGGGGGTTATTGGTAGATGGCGAGA